AAAAAAAAAAAACAAACAACAACAACAGAAAAAGATTTTGTTGAGCCAGGAATGTAGCTTAGTGGTAGAGGGCTTGCCTGGGGAGTATGTGGCCTTGGGTTCAATATCTAGCACTTCAAAAAGTATTTAAGGATGCAGTTAACTGGGGTAAGATAATTAAGTGGATAAAGTTAAGATACAGCAGTATCTTTCTTGTTGTTGTTTTAGGTCACTAAATATGAACTGTGTAAACACCTTTGTGAACCATGAAAAGGGACCTACCATCTACATGTGTGCTAGGGGAGACACAATATGAGAAAAAAGGTTTAAGATCCTCTCTTCAGTGTGCAGATTTCATGGCCATTTTTGGACTCTCTTGATATATAAAAACATCAAATTGACAGTTCTAAAATACAAAGAGAGGCAAGGTATGTTGGCCCATTTCCCATGGTAAAACATCACCAACAAATACACACAAATTCCCGATTTCTGGACATGGACTTTACCTGGTCTTCACTAATGTCTTCTTTCTCAACTCTTCAGTTTTTTGCCTGGTTTTGCACCCAAGGTTGGTACAGAATGCTGGAGGGTCAAGATTCTATACTGGCCGTTTGTAACCGGAAGTAAGTCCATTATAACTGCCATACCAGCTGCGCCCACAGAAGAAAGACTGGAGCTTGGCAGGTGGCTCTCACCTGTGATCTTAGTACTTCTGAGACCGATGCAGAAGAATCTCCCTTGCATTTGATTTCCCTAACTAATCTGTTCTTGGTGACAGGAAAGGCCTGCCTTCAAACAAAATGGAGTTCAGAGCCACAAGTTCATCCTCCAATATTTGCTAGGAGTCCTGCACTGGGAGATCTGAGCCAGCTAACCGAGGTGTGTTCTACGGCTGGAGATAAGTATCGGGTGTATAATTTGCCGGCAATAATTATGCACGAATTCAGCACCTTGATGCCTTTTCCTGTGTTTAAACCTGTAAAACCACATCTTTCGTCCTGAGTGTTGAGGGCTCACTTTTTTGTCTTTTTCAGTCCTGACAGATTCACAGCGAAGAGGCCAATACCGTGCCCAGTTTGTCTGTAGAACGCATCACACAAACATTCTCCTCACAGAGTGCAAGCCAGGCTTGGGCGGTGCTGTGGTGCAGGGAGCTCACAGCTCACACCAGTGGGGTTCCCTCTGCTGCATCTCAGCCCTGGTCCCTGGCAGCCTTTCACAACAGGAACTTGTCCCTCAAGCGTCCATCCAGACTTAGTATGGTAGATACTTACAAAATTAGCAAGGACACCCCATTCCACGGCCTTCTGCTCCTAGTTCTGATTGTTTCGTAGAGAATATTTGGTCCCAAGAACATAATGATGAGCCTGTCGTGGCCATCTCCGTTTTCACAACTGGTTAGTCCATCCCTGTAATCTTGGGGACAGTGAAACACCCTTGATCTCAGTAACACCTGCACATCCAAAAATATGTATTGAGTTTGGAACCACAGGTCATTCATTGTGGGCATGGGGGATGGAGCCAGGAGTCAGAAAAATCTCCCTTTCAAGAAATTAAATTTTAGGAGAATCCTAAAGTGGAGAATTACAACAGAACCAACATGGGCTGGTGAGATGGCTCAGAGGATAGAGGCACTTGCCGGGCTTCCTGACCTGAGTTCTCTCCCCAGAACCCACACAGTAGGAAAGAAGCTGTCCCACAAATAGTCCTCTGACAATCACCGTCCCTTGCTGTATGTCCCCCCCCACACACGATAATAATAAGTTTAAAAACAAGCAGGACCCGCTGACAGAGAGTGTTTTGTTTGAAAAGGTGCTGTCATCTGAGCCGTGAATGTCAAGCTAGACAGCAATTCCCCATGATATGTTAAATTGCTATTATTTCGACGGAGGGGCCATTGGCAGGAAATTGCTGCTTCATAATTTTTAAAACATACTGGCTCGGTCGGCAGTTCCATTCCCTCACTCATTAGGTTCCCTTTTCTTCCTGGTTCTTTCCTTTATCAAGAGGCCTGCAGCAGAGTTCGTTCTCATTGGTTGAAGATTCCAGCTCCACCCACCCGTTCTCCAGACCGGGTCTGAAATCCTTGGAGTGTAATTGAAGGAGTGGCGAGAGTGGGCGTGTCATCGGAGGTGACGTTTCCGGAAGCTCCGACTGTAATCCTTCACGAAAGGTGGGAAGGGTCCCGGGGAAGCTGCGGGACGGGGTATTCTGGCGCGGTGGTACCCCGCGGGGAGAAGCCATGAGTGTGGTGCCCGTGTCCCTAGCCCTGGGCCGCCGCGCGCGGGCTCCGGGATGGCCCTGTCCCCAGGGTTGGCTCCTGACCAGCCAGGCCCGGTCTCAGCACGCCTTACATCTTCCCGAAACCTGACTGAGCGCCTTGTGGAAGGGCTCTGCCAGCTGTAACAGCTGGATCCCTCTCCGGGGCGCGCCCTTCTGCCCCTGCTCCTTCCTTTTGCCTCCTCCGGAGCTCCTCCTGGTCCTTCCCCCTTATTTTCGGACACTGTCTTTCCCTTGCATGATTGCTGAACCGCATGTTGGCCCAAGCCGCCCGATGATTTCCAGAAGAAGGTACCTTCTCTATCCACAGGTGCCTCCCCCCAAGAGGTACCGAGATGGCCAGCATCCCATCCAGTGAGCTCTGCTGGGCTATGCCCAGTTCCAGCAGTTAGGGACTTGGACGGGTTTTATGCTCAGGAGCGGACGTGTTAGGCTGTGCCTCCACATTCCTAACAGCCCCCAACTTTTGCTGGGAGGGAAGGAGGTTTAGTGGGGAAATTTCATGGAAGAAATGTCACTCAAGGGTTGAAGAAAGCTAAAGTAGAATTGGCTTAGAGAAAAGTCTCTGAGAACAGGTGAGTGGAACCCAGATAAACAACGGCTGGATAAATGGGACTGTCATCTGCGGTTCCCGGGCAGATGGGAATCCTGACCGAGGAACAAGGAACAAAGATGGGGAAACAAGACTGTTGGGTCACAAGATGAGTGTATTCTAGAATAGGCTGGCTGGGCTGGGCTGTGATCCAATGCACAGAACAACCCCGATTCCTCTCTGGATTTTGTGTAATGATGGTGTCATGGAGCCCAGAGCCCGAGTCCAACAGAAGCAACATCTAGAGATCGTGTAGACTCACTGGAGTCTGGATTCCAGTGAATGGGAACTCCTAGAGTGGCCCACCCCATCTGAGGTAACTGTCCCTTTGCTGTTGAAGTCCTACTTGCCTTGTGGAGACAAGTGTACACTGTTTCAGAGTGCTAACTGCCTTTCCCTGAAAATGGTAAATGTGATAGATTGAATCAAATAGTGGTATAGCAAGTGGAGTTGTGAGCATTTACCCCCCAGAAAACACACACACACACACACACACACACACACTGACTTTGTAGTCAAAGCTGAGGAATTGTATCATGGGAAATGTCTGGTATTCTCCAGCAAAATGAAACGGAATAATAAATTACCAGAGCAGTCTTCAGGAAGGTCCTCTGAACACACTCTGCCAGGTATTGGGTAAATGGAAGTAGGCATCTGGCTAGAGAAACAACAGAGCAAGTGGCAGATGCTTCCTTACCTCTACGGGGCTCTGGGCAGACCTTCCGCTGATGAAGAGTGATTAAGGGGCACTAGACACACAGTGGCTGTATTCCTTGGAGCATCAAATTGTGGGACAAGGCTGTTGATTTTTTTTTTTAACCTGTCAGTCCTCAAATCAGGACTTGGGTGTTCTTGTGGGTAGGAAGGTTAATATATTGATCAGAACCACAGCATGTAGTGTTTTCTTTTCTCTAATTTTTGTTTCTCTGTTGTGTGTTTTGTTTGGTTTTGAAACAGGGTCTTTCTATGGAGCCTTGATTGTCCTGGTACTCTCTGTGTAGGCTAGATTAGCCTTGAACTCAGAGATCTGTTCCTCAGCTGCTGAGATTAAAGGTGTGCTCAACCACGTCCAGCTCTTTCTTTAATATTTTGGGAGATTCGTGGTACACTCACCTTGTGCTAGATCACTGGGAAGATATGACCCTGGCTTTGATGTTATCCATTTTCTCTCTTTTGTCCCAGAAAAGACATTATTGGTCCAATGTCTGACCATGGGGATGTGAGCCTCCCACCCCAAGACCGGGTGAGGATTCTATCCCAACTTGGAAGTGCAGTGGAATTAAATGAAGACATTCCACCCCGACGCTACTACCGCTCCGGCGTTGAGATCATCCGCATGGCATCCATTTACTCTGAAGAAGGCAACATTGAACATGCCTTTATCCTCTACAACAAGTACATCACGTAAGATGCCCACAGTTCTCCTCTTCGTTTCTGTGACTGACACCCCTTGTATTCTACCCCTGTGCTCACCTATGGCCCCCACAGTTGCTAACAGCAGGGAACTTGATATGTCAATCATTAACCAGGTTGCAGGCAGCTTTCACAAGTGAGTTGTCCTTGCCATTCAAGGACACAGGGCCAAAAGCGGTATTATTTGACTCAGGAATGTCCTGGGTAGGAGACTTAGTCCTCAGTCCCACCTGCCCCAGCTGTCCACAGGTAAGCTGAATGTATCTGCATTGGTGAGTATTTTGGCTGTACTCTCTCTGCTCAGGCAGCCAGTCCCAGGACCATTGCTGGTGTGTGGCAGAGCCCAGATTCCTGTACTCACCCTGTAGCTTCTTATGTGGTATAGGAAAGAGGTTTCTTTCTTATCTGTCAGTGTAGTCTCCTAGTTACCGATGACTATGGACCACTTGCCGCCTGACTTACAACAGTAAGACATTTCCTGAGCTGTTTGTTCCTCATAGTTGGATAGGCAGCGTAAATATAAGGTTTCAAGGCTGTCACCAGGGAATGACTCCTAAAGCCCCAGTGGCAAGGGCACCGTGTGGTTGAGGAAGGGGATGATGGGAAAAGTCTGACTTGTCATTTCTAGTCTGAACTTCAGTACAACAGGATCTAAAGAGTTTGCTGTGACTCAGAGGACCTCGGGCTCAGGAAGGGTTTCTGTGGCATCGCTCATGGGTCTTCATGGGGTGGGGGTGCCAAGTAGACACATCACCCTCCAGGTCTGTTCTACGGCGGAGTGCACTCGGGGTTAAGAATGAGCTTGGGTTCCCATTTGCAGTGGCTCCTCCTATTTCAGGGTTCATTCTAGAACACAGGTTCTTTTGTTTTCCATCTAGGCTTACAGAAGGCAGTAAGTCTCCCTCTCCACTCTTCTCTACATGAGACACCTACTGACCACTTCCACGTGTGTCCTCCCAGACAGACACATGTCAGTCATCACTGGGTGTCCTGTCAGTCCTCTCTAACGACATTCTGACCCAGTAGAGAATATGTCTCGGTTCTGTGACTGAGCTGAGTGTTGAAAGTTAGCAGCGTCCCTGCGGGAAGCACCCCACTAGGTGCCAGCAGCGCCCCTCCCCTCCTCCTGGCAAACCCCAGTGTCTAGATTTTTCCTGTTTGTTTCTGTTTTTTCTTTGTTGGCAAGAAGAGATGGCTAGCTGGATTTGGCCCACTGGTTTTACTTTGCCAAATTCTGGACAGGTTGATTTATGTTTTGGCTTGGAGGCTTGGGGGAGTTTGGTTTAGGGGGGTGTTTGGTATTTTTGATTTGTTTGTTATTATTTGATATTTTAATTTTTTGGAGTCTCCTTACATATCCCTGGTTGTCCTGGAACTACGTAGACCAGGCTGGCCTTAAAGCCATGGATACTTCTACCCCTGAGTGCTGGGGTTAAAGGTGTGCACTGCCATGCCTTGCTTAGGCAGCTCTTTGTAGAAAGTTGGGTAAGACACAAAGTAGAATGATGAGGAAGTAGCTGAATGCAGATGAGAAGTGTGAATGTGCTTCTCTGTATTTCAAGATGGGAAGTTCTAGAGCGTGGGTTTGTTGTTTTCTGTAAAGAAAAGATCTTGTGAAAAAGGAGAGGCTATGGTTCAAGAGAGAGTGCTGACTGTAGCAACAAGCTCCTAAGAAGCAGAAGCAGATGTATTAATGCTGTTAAAAGTCTACGGAGAGCTGTGGATGTACCTCAGTGTACAGAGCTGTCCAGCATGTGGAAGACCCTGCGTTTGGTCCCCAGCACCAGTAACAACAACACCAGTACTAACGGATCCTTAAGAAACTGGTTTTGTCTTTTTTGATGTGACCCAGTGTTACTCAGAATGACAAATATTAGTGTTACTGGTGAGACTGACGTGTCTGCCCCTGGACACCGTGAGCCAGGCCTGGGGCAGAATTTTGGATGAGGATTTGCACTCACTTGGTCGATTGTTGGATTTGGGACTGCATGGGTTGACTAGTGGGGTTTAATTTGGGACTGCACTGGGTTGACGAGGTCTGAAGCAATAGATGCAGTTGCCTGCATTGTTCTGGCACCTGCTTTCCGGACCCTGATTCCGACTCTGTGAACTGACTAGCCGGCAGCTGCAGAGAAGTCCTAGCCCAGTGACTCTGAGACTGGTTTTCACTTGGTGTGTTCCTGCCCATTTACATCCACTCTACCAGTTACTACAGCTGCGGGGTGGGGTAGGGGATGGGTAGGGGGGGGCAGGGAGGTGGGGGGGAGGATTGCCGACGTCTACCTCACCACCCTTCCGCCTCCCCCACTCGTAAGAATCTTGTTCTGCGTCTTTCATGTACGCTTTAGTTCAGGATTTAAAAGGCATGTCTGTCCTTCCTCCCAGATAGGTTCAGACATCTTGGCGATCTCAGGCATATCTCCCCCACTTGGTAGTAGTTTCCTGCTGAAGGAATGCGTTGCCTTTTGCAGACCCCAGTATAGAAGAAAGATCTTGAGCATGCGGGATCAGTACATACTTTCATGATGAGCACAGACAATAAGCCAGGCTGTGGATTCTTTCGCAGCTTTTTATGGGCATCAGAGGCTGCACAGAAGGGACTTAGACTATGCAAGCAGTTCCAGTCATACCGTGTGAGCCCCCTCTGACACAAATCCTCCTTCTTCCCGTGAACCTGTGCCAAAGGCATGTACTGGGGCTGGGGCTTAGAGACCCAAGAAGGGGTCTCCTGCGCTTGGGTTCACTCCAGCAGTTAACTTTGGAAACTGGAAAATATGGTCCTTAAAGTAGCATTCTATTGAATGTCTGCTTTTTGAATGAGTTTTTTCCATACAAAAATACCTGTTCATGATAATTTCCCCTAATATTAGGAGGGAGGAAGTCAAGTTAAAACAAAAATTAAATGGCAATCTGGTAACACGTCTTAGTGGGTAAAGCATTTGCCATGAAGGTCAATGGTGTTCAATCTCTGAAACCCACATAAAGAAAGGTAGAGGAAAGAACTAACTCCACAGGTTATCCTCTGACTTCCACATGTGTACTACAACACACGCATAACCACACACACACACAACAACAACAACAACAATGATGATGTATCATCTGGCACATATACCACCACCTATGGACTTGTTCTCACCAGATAGCATTTACACACATGCAAGCATCCACGATCCTTGCTCCTTTGTCCTTAAAGCATGAATGTGACCGCAGTCTGTACTCTGTTCTGAGCTCGTTCTCTTAGGGAGACTGTGTTTCCACATGGCCCCATGTGGGGCCTTCTCCATCTACCTGAACATTCTTCCTGGATCTCAAGGCCAGCTCTCTTCAGTCCTTCCTCAGACACCATCTGTTCTGAGCTACTCCATCTCAAACCCTGTTCTCCAGTCACCGCCTGTACTCCTTTCCTGCTGATAGTGATCTTCCTGGCATTGATTCCTTTTTCTTAAATGTGTTTATGTTGTGTGTGGGGGGGGGGGGTTTGTCTGCTTGTATGTCTGTGAACCACATGTATGCCAGAGGAGGCCAAAAGAGAGTGTCAAATCTCATGGGACTGGAGTTACAGATGGCTGTGAACCTCTATGTGGTTGCTGGGAATCAATCTCAGGTCCTCTGGAAGATCCGCCAGTGCTCTTAACCTTTGATCCATCTCTCCAGCCCTGATAACACTGATTCTCTGACACACTTTTTTTTTTAAATGTCTGTCTCCATTGTAATGGAAGCTCCATAATGAGGGGAAACCTCGAATGGATCATTTCTGATATATCCCAGCCTTCAGAGGCCAGCTTGGCACCTTCTAGAAATGGCTAGTAAACCATAAATATTTGAATAAATGAATGATATCGGCTATGTGCACAGTCCTTTAGTTTATATTTACGATTAGTAGTGGTCGTATGGGGGTCTATGCATAGGTTGCCATGTGCACGTACAGGAGTCAGGACAACTTTTTTTTTTGTTTTTGTTGTATTTTTTTTTTTCAATACAGGGTTTCTCTTTAGCTTTGGAGCCTGTCCTGGAACTCACTCTGTAGACCAGGCAGGCCTCAAACTCAGAGATTCTCCTGCCTCTGCCTCCCAGTGCTGGGATTAAAGACATGAGCCACCACTGCCCGGCATCAGAAGACAACTTTCAAGACCTTCTTCTGGATGGTCTGGCTTGGCTTGACAGGCTTGCACAGCATGTAATTAGATAGTTTATGACTTGTGTTGGTCTGCCTTCATAGTTACCCCTAGTTGCATCTGCCAGTGGACCACAGGCGGCACATGCTGGAAGCGTTACCATACTTGGTTTGGTGCAAAATATTCTCTGCAGGATTATGAGTCCCAGGAAACATTTCTGGTGGCCAAGGTCATGAAAGCAGTGATGGCCATGGTTTTGTCTTCGCCTCCTGCCCCTGCTGCTGATGGCCTGCTTAGCATCTCTGTTGCTGTGATCAACCACTCTGACCAAAGGCCTTGGGGAGAAAAGAATTTGTGAGTTTATGGGAAGTGAAGGCAGGAATTTGAAGAGGAAACCAACAGAGGACTACTGCTGACTGGCTCGCTCCCTGGCTCGTGTTGATCTGCCTTTTTTCTACTGCCCAGGCCCAGGGCACGACTTACAGTGGACTGGGCCCTCCATCATCAATTAATCAACACAATGTCCCACAGACATGTGCACAGGCCAACTGGTGGAGGCAGTTCCTCAGCTGAGTTTCCTTTTCCCGGGTGTGTGAGGTAGACAACCGAGATTAGCCAGCACAGAGTGATGTTTTATGTCAGAGGCCCTTTCTGTCAATCACAGGAAGAGACCTTTTTCTGTAGAGTTACTATTTGGAGCATATCACAGGCTTTTATTTCCGTTTGGTTTGGGGGTTTGGGGTCCTTTTCTTCTGTTTTAAGACATTCTCACTAAGTAGTTCAGTCTGGTTTAAAATTCACAGTGGCTCCTGGGGGCTGGAATTGCAAGCGTCAATGGATGCTACATTCTTCTTTCAAATTTTACCTTTATTTTTTGCTGGGGTGAGGGCACCTGCAAGGTGGTCTTCATGGAGGCTGGCTAACTATTTGGGTGAATCAGTTCTCTTCCTCCACCATGTGAGTACTAAGGGTTAAATTCTGGTCCCCAGCCTTGGCTGCAAGTGCCTTTACCTGGGGAGCCATCTCACCTGAGGCTCTCCTTTGTGCTGTAGGAATCTGGTATTTACTGTTACTCCCTGTTTGGGGAGAAGAGATCAGGACTTCTATGCAGAGACTAAGCTGGTAGGGGCCAAGGCCCTGTATGCCATGCCCATGCCCGATCTCTCCGCGATTCTAGAAACTCTTTTTTGTAGTGGCTGCATTGTCTCAGGGTCTCATGTGGCATTTCCTGTGTGCCCTAACCATTCTGCTCTGTTTCTTTAGGCTTTTCATTGAAAAACTTCCAAAACACCGAGACTACAAATCAGCTACCATTCCTGAGAAGAAAGATGCAGTCAAGGTGGGTCCCAGTTTTCACTGGGCTGCCTCTCCGGCGCAGGAAGGGTGGAGGGCTTCAGATCATGTGTGGGAGGACACTGCTGTCACTCTTGATGTCCTCTTTCTCGCGTCCTTGGCTGATGTTAGACGGTTGTGATTCTCAGGTTTGGTTTTGTATTTCAGAAATTAAAGAATGTTGCTTTCCCCAAAGCAGAAGAACTTAAGAGTGAACTCTTGAAAAGATATACCAAAGAATATGAGCAGTATAAAGAACAAAAGGTCAGTGTGACAGTAAAGAGACAGGAGGGCGGTGTGTGTGCTTTTCAGACAGTCCAGGCTGTGCTACGCCAAACCAAATGAGTCTGTGATTTTTAATGGGCTAGTTTGTCGGGGGGAGGGGCGGGGGGCACAAAGACCAGTGACTCAAAAGAGTCACCAAGGACGATATGGAGAATTATAGCAGATTCAGTCTATGTGCCCACAAGGATGACTTGAGGACAGACACCTGTGACCTTTCTGTCGTATCTACAGCAAGAGACCTGACCATGGTGAACATTGTCACTAGAGCATAGGTGTTTCAGATCTCAAGTGTGGGAAGTTTATCCCAAAAGCTTTCTGTAGTCATTGATTTTTTCCCAGTTGTGCAGCGGGTCTTGTTTAGAATGGTTTCAGCTTGTGGGGAAACAGTCAGGGCCCTGTGGAGCAGGAGCACACGCTGGAGAGGTACCTGCCTACGTGCTGCGCTGGTCTGCACACTGGCACCTGCCTACATGCTGCGCTGGTCTGCACACTGGCTCTAACAGTCAGCAGGGGGATTAACAGTGCTGAGACACACATTTCTAATGCACTCGAGGGGTTCGCTGCTTGATATTTATTAGTTTAAATGTCATTTTCTTTAAATAATAATCACTAGAAATCCCACAAGTTGTCCTCTGACCTTCACATGTGAGCCTTGACACATGTCCCTTCTCTGGTAAACATATAAGTAAATGTAATTTTAAAAATTAAAAACAAAGCAAATAGCATGAATACTTGCAAACTGGTACTCAGCTCCCTTTGGGATCCACTCCAGGATCCCCTGCACAGGGAATGGCCCCATCCACAATTAAAATGGGTCAAGATCCCCCTACAGACATGCTCAGAGCCTTGTTCTCAGGGTGAGTCTAGAACACTAACTTGAAGATAGGAGCACTAGCTGCCCTTGAAAACAGGTATATGGTGGCTTGACAGAGCAGGGTGGTGACTGTACTCCATGACTTTAGAGGTACCTAGCGAAGCATGAATTCTAGATTGGGAAATCGGACCAGAGAAAAACTGTACTTTGGACGTCTCTATGCGGACTAGGCTTTCCTTATGAGAGCTGAACTGTTAACCAGGACCCTTTCTTCCCCCCTAGAAAAAGGAAGAGGAGGAACTTGCCCGGAATATCGCCATCCAGCAAGAGTTGGAAAAAGAAAGACAGAGAGTTGCCCAGCAGAAGCAGAAGCAGTTAGAGCAGGAACAGTTCCATGCCTTTGAGAAGATGATCCAGAAGCAGGAGCTGGAAAAAGAACGGCTAAAAATTGTCCAAGAGTTCCGGAAGGTGGACCCTGGCCCAAGTGGGCCTCTGCTACCTGATCTGGAAAAGCCTTGTGTAGATGTGGTCCCCACATCACCCACGCAGACTTCAGACTGTAACAGAACCGTGAGACCAGCTAAGCCACCCGTGGTAGACAGGTCCCTGAAGCCTGGATCACTAAGCGTCATAGAAAATGGTGAGCCCCCTCCCCCCCATGCCTCTCTCCGTCTCTCTTGCTCCCATGACCCACTTACTTGGCTCGGTCAGCAGAACCTCATCGGATGACTACTGTCTTCTTCTGTCCTGCTACCCTGTCTGTCTTGTTTGGTTTTGCTTTTGGTTTTGTTTTTTGAGACAGGGCTTCTTGTGTAACCATTCTAGCTGTCCTGGAACTAGCTCTTGTAGATGAGGCTGGCCTCGAACTCACAGAGATCTGTCTGCCTCTGACTCCCGAGTACTGAGATTAAAGGCGTGTGCCACCACTGCCCCGCTCCCTGTCTGTTTTGTAGAAATGGCCTTTAATTTAGGTTAATCTGAGTCAGTTTTCTAAAACCTTCCTGGAAGACAGACACGAACCATCAAGGGTTCTGCAGAAATGTGAAGTGTTCAGTAAACTAGAGATCGTGCTTCCTGGAAGCCGTTCTAAAATGTTTGCTTCCACAGGCAACCCCACCACCGAATCTCCCTGCGCTGGGGTGCTCCTAATCTGTGAGAGGCTTAGCCAGTGAGAGTGCTACACACTGCAGGGGGCTACTTGGTTCATTCAGAAAACCTTGTGACCCATCTTCCAGAAAGGAACTGTGCTGTGCTCTGAGGCTTCAGGACTCCTCCCTGTTCCCTCTAAAGTCCTCTCTCCCTGTACCGCTCCTTCCTGCCTGTCCTGTGCTCTGGGAAACACGTTCTAATGTCTTACCCACAGCTTTGTCAGCTTTCATCTAGCCCTAGCGTCTGCCTTCTGCTTTCCTTGAGGCTTCTCCAGCTCCTGTCCATTCAGTCAGATTGATTTAACCCCCGTAAAACTCCCAGAGATCTTCTTATCCTCAATATATTTGAAATCATTTCTGATAGTGCCATCATTTGTCAATATCTAGATTCTAACTTCCTGCAGGCAGGGCCTTGAGTCTTTCTCATTTTGTGTCCCCTGTTGGTGGAGACACGCCTCTGAAAATGGACGGGGAGGGAGGCTGTGCCAGCCTTAACATCACCCACAGATGCAGTTGTCACACTGCAGTGGCTCTGACCCCTCTGGCCGATCAGGTCTAGCAGACCCAAATGCTGATGTGGCACATCTGTTTACTGTGCTCTTAATAACACAGCTTCTCTTGGAGCTCACAGAAGGATCCACTCTTGGCATCCTGGATAAGTTTTACAAGCTGCTTTTTCTCAGGGAGCTTGGCATCTCAACTTTCTTCTAGCGGGTGTTCCACAGCACACCACATGATCAGACAACAACGAACACCCTTGAGGGTTAGTCCTCTGCTTCCACCTTGTTTGAAACAGGGCCTCTTTCTTGTCCTCCGCGAGCTTCTGATGATCAGTCTGTTCCTGCCTCCCATCTTCCTGTAGGAGCCCTGGACCTGTAGATGTGGCTTCTGGTGATTTGAGCTCTGGTCCCCTGCCTGTGCAGCAGTCTGTACCCATGGAGCCATCAGCTCCACCGTCCCTTTTTGCCGGTTTGTTTTCTGAGCCGCCCTGTGTAGCTGACAAGCACTAAACTTGGGATTCTCCTGCCACAATATTCCAAGTGCCGAGATGGCAATAGAGTGCCATCATATCCTTAAAGTTCCATCAAAATCAGAACTAGATAAGGCAGTCAGCCCTCTCCAGCTGTGAGACTGTGCTGCCATGAATCCACACTTCCAAAATACAGCGGAGAGGCAAGAGTGAGCCGGTACCGTTCAGAAGGGGGAAAAGAGCAGGAGAGGGGTAACTGGTGCCAGCTACATCCAGAATCAAGTCATTATGACTCTGCTGGGCTCAGTCACTAGCTGTACTCACAGCTGGCCTCTCAGGATGCAGCGTTCCCAGGCTGAGGTACGCACTAGTTGCCCACAGCTTCAGAATCCCAAGACACTGCCCCATTCCTACCGCACTGCCCTAAAGGGGGAACCTCTGTGGAGCTCTGTCCTTGAGACAGGCAGTCTGTAACATCCTTTAAAGTACGAGTGGGTCTCCCGTGGTCGCACAGCACAGCCCTTAGGGAAGTGGCCTACATGGCTGAGTGTTCCCACAACAGGTTTTCTGCAGGTGGACGCTCTAGAATACTGGTAGTTTGGGCTCAGTCCATGTGTGAAAAGGACAGACCAGGGAAGCCCTGTGTGAGTCTCAGTCTGAGACGAGAGACCTGAAGTCCCAGCACAAGTCCACAAGCCAGAGTCCAAAGCTTAGCACATCTGGAGTCTTAAGAACAGAGGAAGAGCATGCACGTCCCAGAAGAGACACAGAGAAAATCTTTTCTCTGTTCCCTGCAGCTCCCGGCTGGCAGCATGTTGTCCACTTGTGTTGAGAGTGGACCTTGCCCACAGAACCTAGGCACCCACATACATGGGGTGCCCACATACATGGTCACATCCACAAATAATGCTCCTCCGGTCAGGCTGAGACTAAAGTATGTGGTCACAGCTCGCAGCCAGCTGTGGCCAGATGTTGGAGAAGAGACTTAAGACCCTCTGTGGTGCCCTTGAGGGGAGAGGGGCTCATGGAGGGAATCCCAGTGACATGGCATTTCTCTTCCACGCTGTCAGCTCTGACCCCTGGCCTCAGACTTTCCCCCCCTTGTCCATTTCAGTTCCCACCATCGAAGGCCTGCGCCACATTGTGGTGCCCCGCAATTTGTGCCCGGAATTTCTCCAGCTTGCCAGTGCCAATACTGCCAAAGGCATTGAAACTTGTGGAGTCCTCTGTGGAAAATTGGTAAGGAAGTGTAGCTCGCCTGAACTGGGGCTGTTTCCTCTGTGGCCTCCTGTGACGCTCAGACTGGATATCTGGGGTCTGACTCTGCACCAATCCCTCCACAAAGCCTACACACACACACACACACACACACACACACACACACACACACACTGTGATGCCAGTCAGTAGTGCTGTTTGGCACCTCATGCCTGTAATCCTACCCCTGGGGAATCTGAGACAGGAGGCTTTCTATGAGTTTGAGGTCAGCTTGAACTACATAGTGAGTCCTGACCAGTATTGACTATGGAATAAGACTTTGTGACAAGAAAGAAGAAAAGAGAGGAAGGTAGGTAGGGAGGGAGGGAGGAAGGAAGGAAAAAAGGAAGAAAGGAAGGCTGACTTAATTCTAAACCGAGCAGGAAGGCTTATGTATTTTCTCCTCTTCTGAGCTCCCCCTGAGCAGTGGGCCTGGGAATGGAAATCATCTAAGGTCTTCATATGTGTCCATAAGGTGTGCGGTCCTTTGCAGAGATGGAAGGGACCCTGGGATAGAGAGCGCTGAGCAGTGTGTCCACTAGGACATGTAGGAACTGTGAGGAAGGCGAGGCCGCTGAGGGAGACCTTGAACCCATCCCTCACTTCTAAACAAGCCCCTGAGCGATGGGAAGCAACCCTCACCAAGGCCTTAATGAGGAGGCTGGAGCAGGGGAGCTGCTTTAGGCAGCAGAGCGGTGGGGCTCTTTCCAGAACACCCCAGGAACCCTGAGCAGACCTGTTGGCTGCTACAGAAAAGCCCCTAGGACTATACCATTGGCCCAAACTGTGCTAGAGGGAGATCTGGGGTTTGGCTCAGTGCCTGTGGCTTTATTCTCTCTCTCTGCTGTGAAGCCCTGGGGTGAGGGATCAGGGAGGAGGAGTGAGCAGGAGCTCAGGGAGAAGAAGGGGCTTCTCTTTCCTCTGCTAAGAGGGAGTGGGTTGAGAGACCCGGGGAATTGTGACCTGTTGTTTTCTCCTTTGCAGATGAGAAATGAATTCACAATCACACATGTTCTCATCCCCAGACAAAATGGTGGGCCCGATTATTGCCACACAGAGAATGAAGAAGAAATTTTCTTTATGCAGGATGATCTTGGACTCCTCACGCTTGGCTGGATCCATGTAAGAAAATCGGACTTCCCTGAGGGCGGGGACTACTCTTCTGTTAGAGGCACACAGCCTGCTTCACTCCCTGAGCAGAGTCAAACTAGCCGAACATTCTGTCTCTCCGCACACATGGCTCCCAGTGCTCCAGTCAGTTGCCTCAGAAGACTGCTGAGAGCTTTTGCAGTTTCCTCAACTTTATCTTTTACTAAAAATAATTTTTTGATGTTCTAGGGTCTCTGGTGAAGGGAAACTGGCCTAGAGACCATGTACCTAAAAGCTGTGTATGTGAAACTGTTTTGAATAGCCAGGGAGTGCATTCTGGTGGCTGCGGTCTCTATGACACAGCACTTGCTGTAGTAATACAGTTTACAAGTGCTTGCACACGCCGGGCACACTTCTGATGACATTCAAGGAAACACAGTTTCCTTCCTAAAGAGTACATCTGGATGATTCTCTCGTTTTTTTTTTTTTTTGTTGTTGTTTTTGTTTTTTAAGGCCTCCAGCTCACTGAACAAGCTGCTTTCTAGGCGTATGAGAGGTGTAAGCCACAGTCCGATGGTTTATTTCTAGGTTCAGGGGGTCATACACACTTGTCCTCCGTACTAGGGCAGTGCCGACATGTGGGGAACTCTCCAGCCCTTCCATCCTTTTTGGTTCAATTATGTAAATACTCACTGGTTTGCCTAATGCCTAATGCAAGGATCCCAGCTGGCAGATAGAAACTCTCCCTGTTGTGCCTGGGGACACAGATGAGGGTCACACAGGAAAGGAGCACCTGTTCCCATGAGGCAGAATGCATTATATTCCTCAGAAGGTGTGCACAGGGCACTGTGGGTTTCAGAGCAAGGGGGGCCACACTCAGGTGACTTACGATGACTTACAATGAGAGGCCAAGGGAGAGTTTCAAGGGGGAGGGGTCAGCATTGGATAGGTGCACTGTGCTCCTGCATCAGTGAGCCGTCCTGTCGGCTGGAATTTGTGGGTTTTCGTCAGAAAAAGATGTAAGGGCAAAAGAGGGGAGTGATCTGGGAGGCTTTCGTATTAAACTGGCCCAGGCAGCCTTGCAGTGGAGAGAGCAGACAGTAAGAAAAGCTATTTGCCGACAACCTGAAGGGCAGGCTACTGAGGGAGCAGAAAATGCGGTGGGCAGTAAAAGGAGACCGAGGAATGTGTAAAGAAAACACAGAAGCCACAGAGCAGGGACATCAGAAGAAGGAATTCAGGATGCACACCTGCATTGGGCTCTAGCAGCACCCTGCCAGGAACCTACTGCACCCATCCCACTTCCTGTCTCCAACAGTGACCCCCCCCCCACTTGCTCCCATCATCCTGTCCTACCTTTCTTTAGAGTTCACCTCCTAAGTCCTGCTCCTGAGTACTTCAGCTCCGCTAGGGTCTAACCTTGAACTGCAGTTGGAAGATCTGGCTTCCTCTGCTTAATCCCCTTCAGGATTTATCCACACTCTAGCGTGCAGCTGTCTGGGCGGGGGGGGGGGGGGGGGGGGGTTTGCGGGGGGGGGGGGGGGGGGGGGGGGGGGGGGGGGGGGGGGGGGGGGGGGGGGGGGGGGGGGGGGGGGAGTGTTTACATCTGGTGAGCAGTGGAGGAGAGGGGGAAAGGCAGGCGGCAGGCGGGGCAGTCAGGACAGTAACGTATCAGAAGTGCACAAGGAGAAAGCACACAGCCCTCAGAGTCAGAGAGCTGAAGACATGCAGAGGGTTGAGCTTCTGTGTGACGTAGTCATGGACACCCTTGTCAGTCAGCCTTTGCCTTGATGAGGGTGGAGTGAGGATCTGCTAGCCGGGTGGGGGGAGGCGGAGGAGGTTAGAGCTGGAGGAGGCTGGTGGTTAAGAGCTCCTGCTGCTCTTCTAGAGCATCTGAGTTTGGTCTCCAGAACTCCTCCAGGCAGCTCACAGTCTCCAGCTCCAAAGGATCTGACACCAACTTCTGGCCTACCCAGGACACCTGCACACATGTGGCCTGTAGTCACACAGACATGTGTGCACATGAACATAAGTAAAACAATTTTTAAGTAAACATTTTTTAAAAATGAAAAAGAAATGAAACTAAAGGAGAGGGTGGACTCCAAGTAGTTACTGCTTAGACTCCAGGCAGAACTAGGCATGGATGGGTGAAGGCTCCCAGTCTAGTAAGGGCCCAGCTAGGAACTCATGGAGAGAAGTTTAGTTTATGTTACTTCTATGACATTTCTGCATCATTTCTTCATAATTTGGGGTTGAAAACAACAAGAAAGGACTTTCCAGATGGTTCCGTGTGTAAAAGGCTTTTGCTGCCCACTCTTAGCTGAGTTCAGTTTTCTTGACCCACTTGGGGGAAGGAGAAAACTGACTCCCACAAGTTGCCCTCTGACCTGCGTGCACGTGCGCACGCGTGCCCCCCCCCCACACCATGGGCAGGCAGACACACATTCTCAGGGTTGCACATGCATATATAAGTGTAAGTTTTAGAAAATGAAAACAACAGGCTATGGGTCTTCTCAGATCTTTACATCACAAGAGAAAATACACAGGCCAGTTTCGCTCCTCGGAGCTCCATCTATTTCCCATCCCCTGACTTGGCCTCAGACAGCTCTGTGCTCAACTTCTTGTTTCTCAGAGCTTTTAAAAGCCGATTGTATGACTTGAAGACAAGGCATAAAACTGACAATTCATACAAACCTGTATATGATGCATAACATGTTTTGAGATGTGTGTACATTGTGAACGCTGAGTTGACTATGGTCTGTGTATGAGAAAAACTCTTAAACATCTGTGCTCACACTGGGCCTGGTAGCTCACTTCTGTGTCGCGGGACTTGGGAGGCTGAGGCAGAAGGTATGTTTGAGACCTGCCAGGGTTACATAGTGAGTTCCAGGGTAGTCTGAGCTACAGAGTTCGACCCTATATCTAAATACATAAAAATGTGTCTTCGCCATTTTCAAGTATACAGCACACAGTCTTGAACTCCACAGGCCTTTCAAGGACAGGTAGAGTTTCCACACACTGGTGTTAGACTCCACTTGTTTACAGTGTTGGGAGGGAACTCACCATGCGGGTCTTGTGTGTTCCTCATGGCTGCAGAGAAGGGGTTGGGTCCCGCTGTTGGGAGCACCTGGGACCTGCCTTCCTAAGTGGGTCAACCATGGCAGCTGGGCCACTGGAAATTCTCTGACCTGTTTCATCTTTTCAGACTCACCCAACCCAGACGGCCTTCCTGTCCAGTGTGGATCTGCATACCCACTGCTCCTATCAAATGATGTTGCCAGAGTCTATAGCAATTGTCTGCTCCCCCAAGTTCCAGGAGTGAGTACCAAGGATGCTGTTCTGGGTTCTGGGTCTTAGAAGGAAAAGAAGTTCTCTATTATTGAAACCAACCGTGTGTGTGTGTGTGTGTGTGTGTGTGTGTGTGTGTGTGTGTGTGTGTGTGTTTATGTGTGTACTTGCGCTTAGGAGGGTGCCTGTGCATAAGTGTTCACATATGTGTGGAGACCAGAGGTTGACATGGGATATCTTTCTCTGTTGCTTTTCTACCTCATTGTTTTTGATGCAAGGTCTCTGGCTGAACCTAGAGATCACTGGTTAGTCTGGAGGCACCTCTCTCTGTCTCCTAGCTTGGATTTTAGACGTATACCATCATATCAGGTTCTTTGTAGATGTTGGGGATACAGTCTCGGGTTCTCCTGTTTCTGTGTCAAACATTTTACCAACTGAGCCATCGTCCCCGCCCCTAGACCTTTTAAAAACCAAAATTCATAAATGGCATTCACTGGCTGCTCTAAAAGACTTCCTTCAAGCTTCATATTCTGATAAACACAACCTGCTTTTTCTAAGATATATTATTAATGTTGGTTTTCTAAGAAAAACTAAAATCTGAACTATTTGACTTAAAGGGATAGGATATCAGAGCCTGAGGTTAAAGGTTAAAAAAAATCCCACATTGGACCCTATGTTATCTGCCAGTGTTAATTCTTTTCATTCCAAATGTCCCCTTTACTCTGAATTCTCCAGCAGAGCTAATAATGGAGCCAGTGATGAACTAGCCTTTTTGTTTTCCACTGTTTTCAAGTTTCACTTTTATGCAGCTGGTGCTGTCCTGCAGGGCTCTGAGCCTCTGTTCCTGCCATTCCCCCTCTGTTCCTCAGACTGAAGAATCTCAGTTGACCCAAGAATCTGCATTTCCGTGTTTAGTCCTACTTAAATCTGTTGTTGACTTGCTCAAAGGAATTTCTCACTTTAAGTTTTAATTTCCAACTAGAAAATTCCTCTTTGGAGGCTGGAAAGATGGCTCAGCAGGTTAGAGCACTTGCTGCTTTGTGCAGAGGACATGGGTTCAATCCCCAGCACCCACACGGTGGTTCACAGTCACCTGTACCTCCAAGGCTCTTCTGACCTCACTGACCTCACTGTGTACCAGTCACGTAGGCCAAGCACTCATAAAATAGAGTAATTAAGTCTAAAAAAATTCCTATTTGATTCCTGTTTATAATCAGCAGATAATTTATTCTTTAACTGTAACCCATTCCCCAGAGAAGAGAGCTGTAAGTCAGTACACTGTGAAAGCTGTCTAAAATTCCTCTGCCCTGTGAGTCAGTGTGAGAGCCTGGAATGTGTGAGCATGAACCGGGGCACACACGGGGGACAGGCGAAGACGGGGGAGTGTTGGGAGTGGGGGAAGCCTCTGGAGCGATGCCTCGACTCTGAGCCTGCCCTTTCTAATTTCAGAACTGGATTCTTTAAGTTAACTGATTATGGCCTCCAAGAGATTTCCACCTGCCGGCAGAAAGGCTTTCACCCTCATGGCAGAGACCCCCCTCTGTTCTGCGTACGTATCTATCATACCCATGTACAAGTCAGCAAGCACATAAAACCTGGGAGGTGCATGGTCCTTCTGACCCACCTGAGCTCAGCCCCGGCACTCACCTTCCCAGAGTTCCACAGTCAGCGATGGAACTGTGTACTTTGGAGATAGGTTTGGATCTCAGCCCTGTCACCCCGTTACTTCCTGTCTGTGAGGCTTTGACCATTCCTGGGCCTCTCATCTGATATGTGGGATAATAATAATACTTTATTAATAATAGTACTTTGCAGGGACCTGGAGAGGATGAAATAAGTGGAAGGAGGGTGTAGCCAGATAGAATGTGTGCAGCATGTGTGAGGCTCTGGGCCCAATCCCCAGTATCAATGGAAAAGAAGTAATAACAGAAAATACCTAATGCATTATCTGCTTACTAAATATTACTTTGTTCCATGTCAGTCACTAAGTTTCAGCCAGCAGTCTGAATGCAAAGGGAAAAGCCGTGCAAGCTAGGAAAACTAAACGTATTTCATTCTGGAATTTTGCCCAAAACTAGGGTTCTCACTGCCCTAGGAAGTGGTTTCCTCTCCCAGCTTGTGTCCACGACAACAGGTTTAGCTGCTCAGATCTCAGTGCTTCAAATCAGCTCAGATCAATGAGATTCTGGTGCTCGCTTCACACCAGGGGGGGTGAAGAGGGTAGTGGCTGGGGTGGGAGGTATCCAGAGAAAAGCAAGCAACACAGAGGAAGGAACCAGAGTCCTGTGCCATAAAGCGTGAAAGAGCAGGGAATGTGCCAAAGAGAACCACAGGAGGCTAGCTAGGATCATGGGGTCCATGAGCTGATTTTGCATGATAAAACAGTCATAACATACATACCACACACACAGACACACATGTATGTATATGTGTGTGTTGGTGTACTTCATACTTTTCCAAGCACAAAAATTTAAGCCTTATAGAATAATAGCTTCTAAAAATGTATATGCATTGTTGATTTATCACTTTTATGTTTATTTTTTAATTGAACTTTATTTTCTTTCTTTTAAAATTTATTTATTAATTATGTATACAGCATCTGCCTGCATGTATCCCTGATCTCATCATAGATGGTTGTGAGCCTCCATGTGGTTGCTGGGAATTGAACTCAGAACCTCTGGAAGAACAGTCAGTGCTCTTAACTTCTGAGCCATCTCTCAGCCCCTGAACTTTATTTTCAGTCTTGTGGATCAAACTCAGATAATAGGTTTCAGTTGAAAGTGAGGAAGAAAATAAACATTAAAAAATAAATAACTAGAACCAGGAATGTTGGCACATACCTTTAATCCTAGCACGCCGGGAAGCAGAGACAAGGGAATCTCTGTAGGTTTGAGGCCAGCCTGATCTACACAATGTGTTCTAGGCAAGCCAGGGCCACATAGACAGACTCTTTCTCAAAAAGTATATACATTGGTCTATCTTGAGATATAATAATGTTTAGATGTGAGAATGTTAAAATAAAGATTGTACCATCAAAGAGGCCTGGGACACCAGTGCCCAGGTCTAGTTATAAAGATTCTTCCTGGAGTTGGTCATGGTACCACACACCTGTAATGCCCGCACTCGGGAGGCTGCCATGGGAGGGTGGCCAGTTCGAGGCCAGCCTGAGCTGCATAGCCAGACCCTGTCAACTCTAATCAATCAATCAATAAACAAGCAAGCCTTTTTATGCCAGAGTGAGAACCTGCCCCCCAATTGTGGTGGTAGGTGAATCTTATTATCTGAATAATATAATTCCCCCCACCAAACACTGCAATAAACCTACTAATTCTTCTGAGTAAAGGAATATTTAACAAGTGACTCCAGAAAATGTATGGGAAGATGCTGATTCAGACTGTGAGTGGAGGGATGATTCCTGGGTTCGTTACTGTAATTGCCACTGACATCGTGGTCTGGCTTCCAGACTAGGAATCACTGACCTTGAGCCGGCATTTGAGTTATTTACTTGCTCACTTATTTTTTAGAATTTCACAAGTGCTGCGTCTACATCATGCCAGCTCCTTTCCCCTCCAGTTTCTTCTCCCTCCCAAATTCATGATTCTTTTTTAATTATTACACATACACACACACTCACACATACACACATACTCACACATACTCACACATACTCACACATACACACACATACACACATACTCACACATACACTCACACATACACACATACACTCACACATACACACACTCACATACACACACATTCACACACACTCACATACACACACATTCACACATACACACTCGCACATACACACACTCTCGCATACACTCACACGTACACACACATATACACATACACTCACACACACATTCACACATACTCACACATACACACACATATATACACACATACACTCACACATACACACACATTCACACATACACACACATACACACTCACCCATACACACACATTCACACATACACACTCACACACACATACACACATACACTCACACATACATATTCACACATACACACACTCACATACACACTCACACATACACACACACATACTCACACACATGACAATGTATGTAGGAGCTCATCCCTTAAGGAAACTGAGTCTCCCTCTCAGCAAAAAAGAATCTGTAGCTTTCCCCTAGTGATGGGGCTGTGTGAAATTTCCCCCGTCCATGTTGGCAGGGCAAACTGATGCCAAAGATTCTGTCTTGTTTATACCACCATATTGTATTGTTATTACTGGAATTATTTTCCCTGTCGAGTCTTGGGTCACTGTCTAACAGCAGGCATCCTGGGCCTCCGCCCACACACTCTGCTCCCCTCAGCCGTGGGTCTCCTGGTTGCACTGCAGATTTGTCACCTTCTGGCTTGTCTCTGGATCCGCTGTAGCTCTCTAACAGTCTCCATCTGTTGCAAAGGAAACTTTAGTGCCGAAAGGTGAGAGCTACATGTAGCTGTCGGTGTTTAGAGTACACTCAGAAGCTGTTGGTTCACAGAAATGGCAGTAGTGGGTTCTTCTCTCGGGTCTGTGACTTACCCAGCCCTGGCTAGGTTCACAGTCTGAAGTATGAATTCTCTCCCATTGAGAAGGCCTTACGTCCAATTAGAAGGCTGTTGGTCACCCTGAGGACAAAATGCCACTGATGCACCACTGTGGCTGTCTTAACTCTGGTCATTATTGTGAGTCACAGCCTTTACAGCTGGGTAGGACATCCAGTTGCCCCTTTTCCTGCGCAGCTTGCATAGTGCCTTTGAGTACTGTGAGAGCCAGACCTCAGCGAGGGGGCTAACTCCTCCAAGTACTGTGTCCAAGAGTGCTGTCTTCAGCAATAGTGTCTTCCCTTTGAGTTCTGGGTCAGCAAGGTCAATGACAATAGCTCATGTATTCCTCCAGTGAACAACTAACAGTCTCTATGGGGGGAGAGGGCCTCAGTAGCCTAGTGCTCACCCTGTAGACCAGGCAGCCTCAGACTCAGAGATTCACTTTGCCTCCTGCCTCCCAAGTGCTTGAATGAAGCATGTATGCCACATACCTAGCATATAGTATGTATTTTTAAAATAAATTTATAAAATAATCGGTTCCCCTAGGTTTTCAGGCAACCTTAGTGTAACATATTCCTTCTTCCCTCTCTCCCTGTATTATCCTTCCTCCCCCTCCCCAGGTAAATTCCCCCATTATTTTCTTAAACTCCTTTGTAGCTCTTGCCTCCTCCTGCTCCCCTCTTTAGAGCTTCTTGTCCACCCTCCCTGCCATGATCCCTATCTGCTTTCCTGGCTTCTTCTGACACATTAGGGTATACGCTCAGATGTTCAGAGCTAGATCCATGAATAAGAGAGAGTTTTGGCGTTTGTCTTTCTGGATCTGGGTTACTGCTTGAGCAGGCATTTTAAGTGGTTTAGGGCTGGGGATGGAGCTCAGGTGGTGGGGCACTTCACAAGCCTCAGACCTGGGTCCAATCCGCAGTACTAATGAACCGAGCGGAGGAGTTATGCCTGTAATATCAACTCTGAGGCAGCCACAGGAGGACATCCTAGGCTACCTAGGGAGTTTGAAGCCATTCATTCAACCCAGGCTCAAATAAAACAGAAATGTTTGAGTTTTTTAACGACTATAAAGGACTTTGCACACATTTATTGTTCCTCCTTTTCCTGTTTCAGGACTGCAGCCACGTCACTGTCAAGGACAGGATTGTGACCATCACGGACCTTCGATAAATCTCAGTCACCACCCAGGGAGATGGCTCCTTGGATAAAGACACTTGCCTCCAAACCCAGCAGCCCAAGTTCATTTCCTTGGACTTCACACATGATGGAAGGAGAGCAACTTCCCCCAAGTTGTCCTTTGACCTCAACTTGTGCACTGTGGTATGTGCGCACGCACACACACACACACATACACACATACACACATACACACACACACACACTAAATAAATAGATGTAATTTACAAAGTCTTACCCTCCTCCTGAGCTACATGCCCTGATCAGTTTACTGTCCTCACCCCCATGGAATTAAACTTTTAAGACAGAATAGGAAAGGGTCAACACCAATGGGAAACTGTTGGTCTTTTTTTAATTTATTATTTGAAAATAAGTCATTTTATTTTTTTAAGGCAAATCTGAAAATGAGCAAATCACACCAAACAACTAACTCAAAAATTAGGATGCGAGAGAAAGTACCTCTCTGCCCTCTTCAGACCCGAGCACTGGCCTTTGGGCCCTGTTGCGACTTATCTTCCAACTGGTTCATCTCTACCTTTGGACTAAATAAGGGCGTCTCTGCAAAACTGTGAAAGCCATTTTGAAGGATTTGGCTTTTTCTTGTTTGTGGCATTACTGAGGGAGCTTATCACTCTGGTGGGTAGTGCATGAGGAGCTCCCAGCCCCCCATAAATTGATTTTGTTTTTAAAAAAGAAGTCTATTATTTAATTTAAAAGGTTAGGATGTTATTTTCTTCTGTAATAAAACAGCTCACTGTGTTGTGCTCTAGAGTGATCTGTCTGAGCACGGGCATCATGTAAACATTTTAAACGGAATGTCTGATTGCGGCCAAATGGGATGGTGTGTCCCACAGTGAACTGTGTTGCCGTTCACTTGTAATCAGTCAATGTGGCCTGCCTGCCCAGTCTCCCTCCACGGGCAGGAAGTCGTCTCTTGTTCTGGTGTTGCCTCAAGTGGGTCTTCCCACTTTCTCCTTAAGCCTCAGCCAAGGCACTGAGCCTTACAGAGTCCCAGCCAACGGTGCAGCTGTCCAGCACTCACCCTGCTAAGTCCACTGTGCTGGCTTTGTCTTCTTCGGAAATGTCTAGGATGGTGTATGAGACCGTAGGTGACACCTCACTTTTCTTCATGAACTGAGCTGGTGCTTAAAGGTAGCCTAGAAATCTGACACCAACATGAGAGAAGAGTAAATATGTTGATAGTAAAATTAATTTTTTAACGTGTATATGTGTGTGTATGTGTGTGGTGTGTGTGCACCAGGTGCATACAGGTGCCTGCAAAGCCAAAACGGGCCTTTGGCTTCTCTAGAACTGGAGTTACAGGCAGTTGTGAGCAGCCACTAAGGGTGCTGGGAAGAGAACCCAGACCCTCTGCAGAAGCAGAAAGTGCTTTTAACTGCTGAGCCATCTCTCTAGCCCTCAAATGAAACTCTCGACCATACCACAATGCTGACTTCCCCAAATACACAGGAACATGTGCATTTAGAAAAGGATGGATTCATATCAAGGGGTAGAATTATGAGATGGGTGTCTTTATTTTTTCCCACCAGCCTTTTTAAATGTTTCCCAACTAGAAAGAGTGTATTCTGCTTCTAACTGGACAAAAAAGAATGATACCTCATGTTTTCCAGAAGCCAGAACTCCACTGCCCCTTAATGTGGGAACCCAGCCAAGACCTGCTCCCTGAACAGCCTCAGTGAGGGGGCCTTGGTAACACTTAGGCCAAGCAGCAGCGATGTCATATATGGAAACCTTCCATGAGGCTGACCTCACTGCTGGAACCTATTCAACATAAACTTTGCCTTCAAGAGCAAGCAGAGATCTTTGGTCAGAGCCTGGTGAAGGGAGAGCTAGCTGAAAGTTCGTAAGGAGGGAGTCGCTGGTGTTATGCCTGAAGTCCTGACTGTGCTTCCGGGCTCAGTCCCCCGAGGAGGACCTGCTTTTCATGTCACTCTCCTCCTGAGAGCAGCTGCTGCAAGGGCCTACCATTGTTTCTCACTTCCGAGCTCGGCAAGAACGCAGGCTGTTGCTTAAATGGAACATTACAATGGTTACTGGTGGGTGACGGAAGTGGAGCCCTCTCCTACACAAAAGGAAGCGAGGCCATTCTTAGCTACTCCTCTGCCTGTTCCCTGCCATGAGCTTTGCCGCCCCCAGCAATCCTATGTTCACCTCATTTTGCCTTTAAAAAAGTTAATGATTCTGGGTGTGATGACACATGCCTGTAATCCCAGCACTGTGGAGGCTGAGGCAGGAGGCTTAGCCTGAACCGCACAGTGAAACCTTTGTAAAACTATTAATGGCGTGGCGCCAAAGCAAAGTCTCCTCCCACCGTGCCGTCCGTGCTAAGCGCTGGCCATGCTGCCACCTTGAACAGCCTTAGTCCCTGTTGCACACTAGACCTCTGTGTCCAGAGCTTCTCTGACCAGTCAAGCGCTTCTACCCCATTCCTGAGACTTGGGGGCTTAGAATTGTCTTGAGTTGATTCATGGCAAACCCAGGATATGGTCACACAAGTGTCTTCATTCCCAGTGGCATCATGGCTTTGAAAGCATACCATCTCTAATAACTGTGGCACTTGAAGCTTTAGCTGGCCCACAAAGAGACCACAGAAAAAAGTTAAAATTCTTTCCATTGCGCTGACAGAAAATCCAACTGATGACCAGACATAGCTGGATCCAGTGTCCACTGTGACCACGATTCCCTTGGTTCAGGGTTATATTAAGTTATTCTATTAAAGTAATGTAGACAGCTGTAATTTAATAGCCTATATATTATCCTGATAAATCTAGCTGAAAATGAACTTCTGGGTTTCAACACAACTCCTAATTGAGTTGTTGGGTCATAGCTTTGGCCACAACTCATCTTGGGACCAAACACTGTGGCCAGAAGGATGGAAAGTTCTGATTGGTCAGGCCTGCACTGAAAGCCTATAATCCCATCTGAGCTGCATGGTCTGAGATCAAGGAGCATTCTTTTTCAAAGAATGTCATGGCAGCCTTAGAAGCAGAAATGGATGCTGAACAAGAGGAGGCAGCAGATATCTATAATAGATGCCAAGGATGAGAGTCTAAGTCTGCCAATGGCAGTGGTCCCAATAGTGTGAACTAAGTAGATTAAATTGTAACAATAAGCTCTGTGGGGCTTGGGGAGTAGCTGCTGGACAGGGGGAGTACTGACTCACTCCCCAAAACATGAGTCATATGTCCAAACCATGACTCACTCTAGAGTGCCTACTGTGTGAGGAGCACTGTTTAAAACATGAAAAAAAAAAAAATGCTGTGCCCTCCGGCCTTCAGAAGCAGAAGGATTAAGGAGCCACACTCCTGTGATAGGACAAGACCAGTTTCCTCATGATTGGCAGTGACTGGGAGACCCTAAAGAGAGAAGCATATATATGTATAATAACTAATTATTATGTTCCACTTTCCATTTATTCAGCAAATATATAACCTAACCCACTAAACCCCAGGTCCCACAGGATTTGATAGAGGCAGGCTCTGGAGAGCTTCCAGGGAAGATTCCACACAGACCTGGGCTATATCAATCATTGCGAAGAATCTGGTTAAATATGGAGGGAAGGAGATGGAGAAATCAAGCGCACAGACAAGTGGATTCAGTAATTACATTTTTTTTTGTTTTTTTTTTTTAAATATTTATTTATTTAGTATAGAGTGTTAGTTTCCATGTCTGCCTACAGGACAGAATAGGGCACCAGATCTCATTAAAGATGGCTGTGAGCCACCATGTGGTTGCTGGGAATTGAACTCAGGACCTCTGGAAGAACAGTCAGTGTTCTTAACCTCTGAGCCATCTCTCCAGCCCCCAGTAATTACATTTTTTAAAGCATAACAAACCAGAGGTGGAGAGATGGCTCAGTGCTTGAGACCGCTGGCTACTCCTGCAGAGAACCCTCGTTTGGTTCCCAGCTCCAACGTGGAAGCTTATAGCCAGTAACTGCCGATCCTGGGGACCCAGCACCCTCTCCTAGCCTCTGCAGACACCAACCACATGCATACAAGCAAACACTCTACACAAATTTAAGTGGAAGCCACAACCACCTTTCTACAATGGCCGAAGTATGTCATAAACATCTGTATAATGAACTCAGCTCCCAGTGGTAGACAGGGTCTGTCTTCCTCTATCATGACATCTCACCAGAGCACATAGAGAAGAATAATTCTGCTGGTGCCTGGACGGGCCCTGTAGCTTCCAGCCGAGACACCTGGATTCTGTGACTGGCTTAATATAGAGGTAAACTCTGTTGTGCCTGGGAGCTCTGATGTACCACTTGGAATTTTCTTTTTGGGGTGGCATAGTAGCGGGGTCACCATGTTGACGATAGTGGTGGTGATTTCTTACAGGGGTATCAGGTCCCAGGTTGGCCTCATTAACTGTGCAGTCAAGGGTGGACTTTAACCTGTCCTTCTGCCTCCACCTCCTTGGTGCTGGGTTTACAGATGCATACCACCATGCCCCACATTAACTGTATGTTCTGTCTTTAGATCTACATGTGTGTGTGTGTATATGTATGCGTGTTTAAAATTTTTAACTAAAATTAATAAAATCAGAACTCCTTAGGTATGTTTTCAAAAATGTGTGGTTTGAATGAAAATATTTGCCCATAGTCTTGGGCATTTGAATACTTGGTCCCCGTTGGTGGCACCGTTTGGGAAAGTCATGGACCGTGTAGAGGGTGGAGCCTCGTTGGAGGAAGTATATCATCTGAGGCAGCTTTGGCTGTTCTTAGTCTTTCCCAGCTTCCTGTTTGCTCTCTGCTTGGTGCCTGTGATTGAAGCTGAGAGCTTGCCTGCCATGACAAGCCCAAATAACCCCTTCATTCTCTGTTACTTTAGTCATGATATTCAGTTACAGCAACAGAAAAGTAACTAAGTCGAAAATGACTCGAAATCATTTGCATTATGTTGTGAGAATCTCATCCTTGCCGTATCACAAGTAACCACTCCAAAAGTTCTTGGCAAATACCAGGCTCTCTCAACACCAGGAGAGAAATCACACTCAGTTTCAAAGGCAAGATTTGGTGCTAGACTAACCCAAGACAGGTTTCCGTAGAGACTTCATCTCCCTTGGCCTCAAAGTCTTCAACTCTTTTTTTTTTAAATCAGTAATTCCAAGAAATGATTACACAGGGGTCAGCAAGATGGCTCAGTGAGCAAAGGAGCTTTGTGCAGCAAGCCCGTGACCTGAGTTCAATTGAACCCATGGAAAGAGAATGAACCCGAAGATGTCCTGTGATCTCCATCTGTGCACTACGGCACACGAACCTGTCCATGTGCATCCTACACACACATTCATATGCACACAATAATAGATTTAAATATATGATTGTATAGAGGGCTATGTACAACATATAGCATGTAGACACCAATCAATGGCAGCTCCAATAACAACAAAGTATTGTCGGGCGGTGGTGGCGCACACCTTTAATCCCAGCACTCAGGAGGCAGAGGCAGGCGGATCTCTGTGAGTTTGAGGCCAGCATGGTCTGCAGAGTGAGTTCCAGGACAGGTTCCAAAGCTACAGAGAAACCCTGTCTCAAAAAAAAAAAAAAAAAAAAAAGGAAAGTATTAATAGTAAGACCTGTGTCAGCCACTTGTTCAAAATCACTCCTGGAGACGCTGGTATTCTAGAACATTTTGGTCTTGCCTCACTAGGTGGCCTGAGAGTCCTAACAGCTCAGATATTGTTCAGTCCTTATAGGTTCCCTGTTCTTCCTAAGGAAACCACAGTATTGACCGAAAACTCAAGGGAGGGTCCTGCTTCCACATAAAGCCACCTTTCTGGTGTGACAGGCCTGGGTTTCGTGGGAAGAGTTTGTTTGGTTTTTTTGTAGCTCAGGATAGTCTTGACTTTATGATCCTCCTGGGTACTGGAATTAATAGTTTTACTTACTTCTAGGCTGAGGATAGGGTACCCCAGTGGCTTGCCGGAGGATGAATGTGGGTGCAGGAATGACAAAGTCATCTGCTAATGGGAGAGGGGGGAAACAGGGTAATGGAGACCCAGGTCCCGAGGCAACTCCCAGCCCAGCCCAAGTCTTAGAACTCTTGGAAAGTAATCTGTTTCCGGCTCTTCTGGGTTCCCACCTCATGGGATGACAGGAGAAGCAAACGTCTTTTCACGTAGCTGATATGCAGGTTTCAAGTTTTTCCCTTTGGACGTCTGGTTGTTAGACTTTCCCCTTTAGTACTGACGTCCAAACGGT